ATACACATTGGCATACGCGCACACTCGGCCATTCGCTCACTTCTGCCGAAACGACGACGATGTTGACGTACGTACGTACATACGGCTCTTGAGATTCTACCCCGCCGTTGAAAGAGAGGACATGCGTATGCCGTTGCCTTGATGGGTCAGTCTCGTGCAAACGGGGCCGGTTCGGCCGCACGAGCCAGCCGTACACGGCTTGCTTCGTCTTTTATTTTTTCTTTTCGTTTTCAAACGCGCGCGCACGCACGTACGCACACACGTTCTGCTTAAGCTGCCTTGCGTTCGCTCGCGCGCGCGCTTGCTTACCTTATTCTTGCTTTGCTGCTGCTGCTACTGCTACTGCTGCTGTTACTGCTGTTGCTGCTGCTGTTGCCGCCGCCGCCGCCAACGACGACGACGACAATCCTTCCTTCTCCTCCGCGACCGAACCTTCTTATCCTTCACGGGGACAAGTTGCTCCGGCGGCGCTGTTCCCCCGATGCTCGGTTCACAGCGACAACCGGGACTTCGTCGCTCGCTCCAATGATGCTTTGATGTGTGCGTACGCGAAATCAGCCTCGATTACGCTACCACTGAGCGCGTGTTCCTAATTTTTCTTGAATTTCTGACCGTGCGGCTCGGTCACTCGCACCGCGAGAGAGAAGGAACGGGATTCTCCTCGCTGCGCGCTTCCCTGCCGATTTTACAACTCACGACGTGGACACGTCGCTACGCGAACGGCCCTCGCGAACGGTGATGCTGGTGCGCATTTCGTGATAGACGGGTACGGGTACGCGGTCGACGTGGATGATAAATACACGGAGTTCTTACGGCACTCACTCCAGTAAGGAGACAACGACGACGGCAGCGGCGACGAGGATGATAAAAAATCAAATGCAAAAGTCATACTTGCACTCGCGCGAGGGGTACAAGGCAAACTATTGGATTTTGTATGGCAAACAAGGAACTGACTGGCCGTATAGCGGGATGTGAGTCGTGGTGGGGGGCCAGCCAGGGACGTAGCGAAATGCCGGCTAAAGGGGCGGCACCAGCGCTCTCGGCTCTGACCCCCACTGCACTGCCCGACTGCTCGCGCCCCCCGCCCCCTTGGCCACGCCATAAATCCGCGACAACCGTTCTCATCACTCTCTCTCTCTTACGCGCCCGCACGCACCGTGCGCGCGCGCATGCACACACGAAATCTCGCTTACTTCATTCCTCTCACTCTGCTCTCCGTTTCTTTCTCTATTATTTATTTCAACTCTTCCACCATGCTCTTTTATGCTTACTTCTCCCTGGTAGACATCTATTTTTTCCCAATTTTATATTCATTTTAATATGTTTAATACCGTCAAATGCGTCGACTTATCTGACGCACATATGAATATTGCAATTTATTAAAAATAAAAAAAAATACACACAGAGGCGCGCGCGCGCGCGCACGCTCTCGACAAAAAATCTACTTCCTTTTCTTCGCAATCATCAAGCTTAATTTCATAATATCAGCATAAACTCAAAAGTCTAAATTTTAATGTTTTAATATAAATTGCAAAGCAACAAAATTAGAAAACAAAGTTTAGATACGGGTATATGTATTTATATCTATTAGTATATTAAAAGAAATATAACGATTGTAATTTACAAACGGTCACATAAAATAGAGATAAAATAAAGGGAATAAAAAGTACGATAATGGAAAGTGGAGTAGTGAATGGAGGATTGTATGTATACAGATTTACTAATTATAAAGCGATTCCATCTCAATGGTTTGTAATTTTAATGTAATTTTATTGTACCTTTTTATCTTTCGTATATACATTAAATGTTCAATATTCTTAAATTCTAGAAGATAGCCTATGAAATCAGATACATACATAATAACGATGTATACATAAAACGATCGAACGAACAAACTTGAATTATCAATTCCAAAAATATTTCAATAAAAAGCCATAAATTAAGAGAAATGAGAAGGGGTAATATGGCAAATGGCAAATAATGAATAGAGCTTGTCAATAAATCATGGAGCAATCATCTTAAAGTCGGCATTACATAAATTGCATTAAATAGCGCGGCAATGGCAGAATGAAAAAAAAAAATCAGCAAGGAAATATATATATATATATATATAACCGAAAGTAAACAATACATTGCCCGTCAAAAAAATAGTTACAAATACAAATAATGGGAAACAAATTGCATAAAATACGAGCGCAACCGCCGACGCAAGTAAGATAAATAGTCAAATGAGATACAATGCAGCCGCGAAAGAATTTTCGGCAGTACGGTAAAAATAGGGATGAACGAGGAGAGCGCGGTTGAGGAAGCGAGAACTGTGCGCGCAGGAGGAAGCTAAGGGGCGACGGCTCACCGGTGGCACGTCCCTGGGAATTGTGCCGACGAAGCCGCCAAGAGGCGCGCGCAGCCGCTGAGACCGACGGAATACCGAAGCGTTTCCCCGCGGCCGACATCTTCCCTCAACCAACAGCTGTTCCAAGTGGCGAGCGAACTCCCCATTTCCTTATCTGGGTCATGGAAACTGCGCATAAGCCACAGGACCTGCTTTGGCTGGTCGCTCGAACCTGGTTGCCTCTCGCGGTGACAACATTGTCCCCGGAATCGACGACGATGATGCCCTCGACAAAGCCGAGCGTCAGCTCCTTGTCGCGGAAGGCGTCCATGCGGGTGTCCTCCTCCACCGCCGCTTCCATCTCAAGCAACACCTCCCGCCTCGCACCGTCGCCGCCGTCGCCGCTGTCGCTGCCGCTGCCGCTGCCGTCGCCGCCACCGCCACCGCCACCGCCACCGCCACCGCCACCGCCACCGCCTCCGCCACCGTCACCGCCACCGTCACCGTCACCACCATCGTCATTCCTTCCCCGCTAAACCCGCCCTCACCATCGCCGCCCCTTCCCTCACCCCGCCCGCACCTGCTGCCACGGGGACGATTTGCCATTGACGCGGCCAACGAGCCGACCTCCGCCCATCGATCAAGAGGCGCGATCGCGATCCTCAACAGCGAGGAAGGATGCACGGACTACCCTGACGACACTACTCCACACCTGGCCCGTGATCTAACCGTCGCAAAACCGAGCTGCGGATGATGACGCGCTAGACACGCGCGCTATGACGACGCGCTATATATAATACGCGAAGTTGGCTTGGGAGTTGGGGACGTCCCCAGTCCGGCTTTGCTTGGTCGGCTGCTCAGCCCTGTTGCCACCTCGACATATGGAGCAGGATCACCTCCTCCGCCTTTCGCGACGTTGCCAAATCATCCGATTCGCCATTGCTCTTACCTCGTTCCCTCCCGCCTCACGTCCCGCCCATCGTCGCACTATTCCCGCCCTGATCGCTCTTTCTGTCGTTGTCTGGTCGGAAACCCGGGCCCAGCCGCACTATACCGATGACGTTTCATCGTTCCTTTTCCTCCACGTCCCATATTTCCTCTCTACAATTCAATTTTTTTTCTCTCTCTTATTAAGTTTAAAAGAATTTTGAATTTTTTATTGACATAATGAGTAAAATGTGACTATCTCCGATGTCCGAGTACCTTTAATTATTCGTGCAATGTCGGCCTTCGAATATGAGCAAGGGGGCTCAACTAATGGCTCGATAATCAAGTGAGGATTTTGTAGAAGGATCGACTAATTCTATCGTACCGGCCGTTTCCTTATCGATCATACACCGAGTATTTGGGAAAAAAACATTAAAATCAATCAGTCTACCTATCTCCCCTTAGATAGCTATATTCGATACCATAAAAAAATACCATATTTCATTCATTGGCTACGACTTTAATTATAAACAAGACATCTTTACGAATAATAAAATGTAAAATAGTAATAGCAATAGAATGCAATTCATTTTTCTCTCATTTCTATGAAATATTCATGATTTTTGCTATTTGTACCCATCAAACACAGTAATTTATTTGGGACACACTTTTATTTCTAAATTCATCGATTATCATACAAATTATTGCTCTTAATGATAAATATTTACTAGCGTATAATCATTTCTTATTATTCACAATTGTTATTAATATTCTGTGATTGTGATCTTCAATATGTCATAATTTTACATTTTGTTCATCTAAGAAATTCTTAATCATAATCAATAGACAAAACAACATTATCCTACAATTATAAAACTTAATTATTTTTTAATGTCTGATTATCTATAAAGAGTAGAAGAAGTTTAAAATATCTTTGAAAGACAAACTAATTTTTTTATAAGTCATTTATGAAAGTATATTCAACTTCCATTATATTCTTTAATAATTAATATTTAATTTTAATAAATAATTATCACATTTTTTATATATAAGCATTTTATGGAGATGAACAAAAAATAAAGCTGTTAAATCACACTATAATTATTTAAATCAACTCTCAAAGAATAAAACTTTTAAATATACATATTTAATAGAATATCTTGCAAAGTATTTTATCGATTAATAAATTTAAATTTATCACTTTTCTTAAATTACAATTTACAGTAAATCTTGAAATATAGCAATGTTTCGTAATTATAAATAAATATCAAATTTTTTTATTTTCATAAGTTAATTGCTATATCAGACTTTCTCTGAAAGTGATAAACTTTTTTTTAATGAATAATCTTGAAAACTAATCATTTAACACTTTTTTACATCATACAAATTTTTATACTTAGTACTACAAAAATAAAGTATGATAATTTTTGATAATTTTTAAAAATTCAACTTGAATCTTTTCAATTAAAAAATTCTTAGAAATTAATAAAATAAAATGGGACATAATTTTTGCATATTGTTCAAATAATTTATTAATTTATTGACATATTCTCGCAGTCTTTTCAAATAAATTTTATAACTTCTCAAATTTTATTCACGTTACCTTTAAAAATTATATAATTGTGTAGTTACACAATTTATATAGTATTATTATTGTTTTGGCAATAAAAAATAAAATAATTTTATAATGTGCAGATAAATTCATCTCAACCGGTCCTTTTTGTAAAAATATTTAATTAAATTTTAACAGTCAATTTATTTAATTTTATTTAGCACCCATTAACATTTGAGAAAATCGGTTAGTAATTACTAATGAAACATCAATAAATCTATTCACACAATTTTGTAGGCACGTTTGTGTTTTAACATCTAGTTTATTACCAGGTCGGTCCATACATTTTTCCCAGCAGAGATCACTAAATTCCTGAATCTGTAAATTTAAAAAACTTCATAAAACTTACATGCATGAAAACAATCGCTATAATACATGAGGTTACATTGACTTAAACAATTACCTGTGAATTAAACTGCGCCTTTTGCTTTTCTGCCATAAGAAATTCTTCCAGTTCTGTATTTGACACATTAGTACTAGTAGTAGAATTATTAAATAAATCTGACATTTTATGATACTTATGTTTTTTCACAATTAGAGAATTTATACAAGAGTGTTGCTAAATACACGTGTTTCCAAGAAATGTTCTGTTATAGAGATAAATATTGATTATTCTTTTTAAAAAAATATTTAACAATTATTTAATCTAATTATATTCTCGTTCAATAACATACATTTATATTATAATTTATGTAACTTTTGTAAATATTTTTATAACAATTTGTTTAATAAAAGATGGAGCCACGTTCCAATTTCTGATATTAACTCATCTCATAATGCCCATCCATACGTCGCACACGTAAATAGTTGCGTGTTAACCTTATTCACGGTGATCGTTTATGAACATTTAATTATATTATGTAGCAATCATTATCAACATATAATAATATAAAAGTAAAATTATTTAATTAGTATCACACTTAAAATGAAGGAAACTTATGTATCAATTTGTGAAAGAAATTTTGTAAATAAAGCAGTATCAATCGACACGGTATTCAAATGTTATATTGTTTTTATTACATCGTACACTATTATTAAGATAAAAGGAATTAACAATTTTTACAAATTTCAATATAGCGATTAGATGGAAGAACATTACTGGAACCACGTTTGTTACGAATTAATATTGGCTCGAATTGGGGTTCTTGCATTGTATCACTGGGACAAACAAAGTATTTTGATGTTGCATATGTAATTGCATTATTATTTAGAAGCGTTCTTTTTATAAACATTATCTTTCTGTTATTTTCAGAGTTGCTGCACAGGTATCATGTGACGTAAGACAGCCTAAAACATCAAGACCAAATGAAGGCATGCTACACATAAATGTTGAGTTTAGCGCTTTAGCAGCGCTACATTTTGACAATACTAAACAATCAGAAGCTACTTCATTAATTAATAGACAACTAGAAAAGTGTTTAAAGGACTCCAAATGTGTTGATTTAGAATCTCTATGTATTGTTGCTGATAAAAAGGTAAATTTAAAAACTATGATATTAATTTGTTTAAATTATCTTATATTTTCCTAAATTCAATATGTATGTAATAATGTATACTTCATTTATGTTATGAAGGTTTGGAACATAAGAATCGATGTAAACATTATAAATCACGATGGGAATTTAATAGATTGTGCATCGATAGCTTCTCTAACTGCATTAATGCACTTCCATAGACCAGATGTTACATCAACTGGTGAAGAAGTTATAATACATTCTTTCACTGAAAAAGATCCTTTACCTTTAACTCTTTACCATCATCCAGTCTGCATTTCATTTATTACATTTGAAAAGTAAGTGTTCATTTATAATACATATTAAAATATATTGTAAATAATGCAATTTATTATTACAGTGGAAAGACTGTTGTCGATCCAACACATTTGGAAGAAAGAGTAGGTTCTGCCATTTTAACATTGACTGTAAATTCATACCAAGAAATTTGCAGTTTATATTTTGATTACATAGAATACACTTCTTTAGCAGCCGATGTTATTCCATTAGTTACTAATTTTGCTGCAAATTATGCAAGTAAATTAGTAAAAGAAATCAAAGAAGTAGTAAAACAAGATATCGAAGCAAAGTAATTAATAGTTATAAGCGTCAGTTTTTATTTTTTTTTTAAATAAATGTATTAATGTTTAAAAATTATAGATACAAAAAAGAAACTCCAAAATCGAATACTTTCTCTCATTGTATTGCTCCTGATAAAATAATGTCAATGATTAGCGAACGAATTAATATAAAATTACTCACATGGAAAATTTGTAATGAAGTAGCTGTGGGTAAGTTTTATATATAATTTATTCATAGCTCTTATTTTTTAAAATTAGTTACAAACACATTAACTCATATACAACTTTATACATAGATGAACAAATGGTTGATGACAGTGATGAAGAACAAGGTGAAATATTTAACATAGGAGATGGAACTGCAGATTTAATAACGAAAAATGTAAAAATCAATATGATAAATATAACTATTTAATAAAATTTGCTTTTATAAATATTAAATATTTTCAGATCGATGGAGTTGGAGAAGGTGGTAAAAATACATGGCAGTCCTTAGATTCTTCAGATAATGAATTTGAACAGTACAAAGACATTGAATATATTGAAAAGAAATCTTCAGAAAAGATTATTGATGACATTGGTAAATTAATCAAATTTATTTATTTTAATATTTAATAAAAATTATAAATCGTATTAAAATAATTTATATGTTACAGAATTAAGCGGAAACAGCGAAGAAGAAACCACAACAGTTTTATCAAAAGAAGACTTATTATGAATTATCATAATTAGTGATAAATGTAAATATTTATACAGTTAATTATTCCTTAATTAATAGAATTTAATTAAAATATATTTTCAAGTGAAATAGTCAAACCATATTAGGAGAATGAGTGTTTTATAATATAACTTAAGCATAAAATATCTTATCATTATACGTACTTTTATAAAATACCTATTCTTTTTAACAAGTAAAAAGCCAAATATAAATTTATTTTATTTCTCACTAAATGTATGACATTCACAGTCACATTGAATACTGAATCTTGGGCTATGTTGCATCATTACTTAATCCATTTTTTTGATCTAACTTATTTGCATTAGTTTTGACTGTGTAGAAGAAGAAGCTTAACGTATCCTTTTCAACAATTGGAATAGTTTTAAAATGTTTCATAAGAAGCTGAAAATTTTATACATTACATCCATATTAGAAGGGGAGCATTTAAACTTATGAATTGATTTATGATAACTTACATCTGCTAATTGAGCTTTATTTAAGCCAGGTCTTGTTGTCAGTCTATAATGGCGTTTGTATCTTCGTAAAGTACCAACTTGTAATTGATATAAATCAACTTCGGGAAGATCATTGTCAGTTTCTCCAGAATCTTCTTCGGAATCCTTCCTTCTCCTTTGTTGCTGTTGTTTTGTACGTGCACATTGGATTACTTGTTTGTGATAATCACATATGTATATATGCCTTGCCTATTCAATAAATTTAAATAAATTAAAATTTTATACACTTATTAAATTAAAATCTAGATTAAAGTCTGTAATTTATTCAAGAGTATTGAACAAGCAGTATTAATATACGAGAGCTCCAAATTCTTAAATCATAGAAAAATTAAGGAGCCGAATAAATCAGAATAAATTGAAATAAAATTAAATAAAGGTTTTATACTAAGTAGAGACAAGGTCAGCGCCAAATAAGAATTTCCTAAGGGCATACGAGTATTAGTAAAACCAAAGGTGAACGAAGAAGAGATTAACCCACTAGATTATCAAGGTTGAGTTTCAGCCTTCTCTGTGTCACAGTCTTTTGTATTCTTTTGCTGTAGGATGCATTGCCTGCGGGCCTTGTACACCTTGTGCCCTCATCTACCAAGCAACAGATCTGATCCGCCGCTCCTCTCGAGTCCTCTTCACCCGTGCTAAATCCGTTCATTTCTAAGACTCTGTATTCGTCCCTTTGTCCTTAAACGCGAGAAATCGTTGTCGATCACGAATGCGTGTTCATCGACCGAAAAGGAATTTCTCCTCCCTCGCCACCACGATTCCACTCTTCTTTCCACACTATCAAAATCATCCACCTTCGAACGTGTCACTCTTTATCGCTCGTTCACCTCGTCGCACCTCATGTGCGTTGCACGATTGAACGATGTCCACATCGTCAGCTGTCGCTGCATCCTTAATTAACTCAGGAGGAGAATCGGTGCACTTTCAACTTGGTCGGCGTGTCACGGCGCGAAAAAGTGCTATTCCGCGTCGTTGACAACCTTGGCCACGCAATAACGTTTCTGGCTTCTTGCGACTATAGTTTTTATTATTTACAATGGGAATTAATGCAGTACGCGATACATATGCGTCATAAACTCGTCTCTCCGGGCACTCGGATTTTAATAGAAATTCCGGCTGGCAGCTCGTCTCGTACGACTTGTACGACCGTCGTTGAGCGAGGCGAGCGAGCGAGACAGACGATAAAGCGCCGGAGCGAGCAGAAGCCAGTGGTGCCAACGCGATGGTGCAGGAACCATCGAACATCGTCGTTTACGAAACTATTCGTTGGAGCTCAGCTGAGCAGATCGCAGCTGCGGCATTTGACAATGGGCGCCACTAACGCCTCTACGCTTATGAACGTATACGCGCGCACGCACACGTCAGCCTAATATAGCGAATCGATTGCAATAGTTGGTGAGCGCAAGAAAAGCCGAATTCAGCAACAACGGGAATTTAACCAATCGCGTTCGAACCACTTTATCTTCTCACGTTTGAATTTTCCAATTTACGCGCTCACTCTCGCCGTGTGGGCAGGCTTTTTTTCATATTGTGTTTGACTAGGCCGATAATCCAATTATGCCGTAGAAAAATTCTGAATCTTAAATATCATAGTAGACTTCGTAGTTAGCTAGGAGGGAGATGAGCAAATATAGCTCCAATGATCAAGTAATTAGTTAAATATCTACGGTGCAAAGATTGTAATAATCATGTGCTTTGACGCATAATAGGTATTTCATATTACGTAGTATATCATGTTTCAATAGATGATTCAGCTGAGAATATTCGCTTTGTGTACGAAATAAAATAATATACAAGATAAGGGTTCCGCTGAATAGAGCGAGGATTTCACTTAATGCCACTCAAACAATACCGTTTGTTTTAGCTTGCACGATCGAAATGTACAGCATGCTTTCGTAGATACATAAGCGAAAGTACTAGAAACATTTGGGTGCGAAACAGCAAAACAAACGCATTTCAATTAATTAATGAGAATAGGAGGTGTTGGTACGTGCATACGTGTGCGTGCGTGCGTGCGTGCGCGGGCGCGTATATAAAAGGTAGAGATTTAGTGGGTAAGATAGCTGGGCTTCGAACTGCCGTTTTGTTATTGGATGTTAGGAGTTTAGACAACGCAGGTGATACCATTGTCCATCACGAGCTTCTCGAGGCAACATTAAAAACAAACGGAAGAAAAAACAACAAAATCGGGCACGATTGGTTCGCCATTCTCGAGCCATAATAATGAGAAAGAGAAAGATAGTGCACTAGAGAGCATTGGTTTTCCTTGGTATATCTTTCGACGTCTTTGCCGAGCAATGAGCTTCCTTCCTTACTTAGCTGGAGCATCGATTACAGCGACCTCCGCAAAGTAGGTGGCGAGCGAAAGGCTTTATTAAGTCGAAGAATAATACCGAGTCGCAGCGAATGGCCGTTTTGAGAAGCGTTAACAAAAGGGCAGATAATAGGAAAGCCGTAATAATTTATTGGCATACCAGGAAGTGAGCTCATAAGCAAGAGAATCAACTGGGCTTTGGGTGTCCGAGCTCGCAGGTATTTGGGCTTGGGGCCACCCTTCGTCGCAGCGGAACCTCAATTTTCCCGCCTTTTTTGCCCGTAGCAGACATTGAGGTGCGTAAATGCGCACGGCCGGCAATGAGCGTAACAGCGGCATATCGTGGAGCGAGCCGTACGCGAGGCATTGGTGGGGGTAAAAAGAAAGGCACGAAAACGGTAAAAGCACGGCCCTGATTGGGCTGATTTTTGCGGCTTATCTGAAATGGGCCAATAGTATATGGAGGTTTGTCCCCAACGAGTAGCGCGCGCGCTCGTCACTCCATATGCCGCACTGCTTGGCCGAGAGCTGCGTATAGCATAAGTGGCGTGGGGCTGGCTGCTCTGCTCTCTTTGCCTACCCGTGTACGTGTAGCTGTCGCGGATATACGAAGCGAAGAGAACCCTTGTGGGAGCCCCGTATGCAGGAAAGAGTCCGCAGGAGTGTACACCGAGACAGCGGAGCGCGCACCCACACACGCAGAGCCCTCGCCGAGAATCGACAACGTGGAGGAGACGACGTTGAGGTAAGGGCTAGCTACGATTAACGCTATATACTGTAATGCGAAGAGCAAGGCGGTGAGTCTAAAGACTGTCGAAGGCCAGAATCGCCGCGGTTCGTCGGAAGAAGCCGGTTGACAGGTCGAGTTGATCCGCGGCGCCGCGCCTCGCGAATCAACGCCTACGCATACGCGTCTTCGTCTGTGGATAATCGGAGAGCAACGCTCGGGCATCCCTTGGTGCTAAATGGAGACAGAGGAGACTGGCAAGGAGAGAAAAAAGAAAAAAAAATACTGTCGCCTTTTGTGGAGATTGCATTGCATTCTGCGTGTATTCGTTTTTGATGTACCGCACGCGTTCTCCTTTCTTTTTTTTTTTTTCTTCTCTTTTTCCCCATCTTTATTCACTTCTATCTGGCTATCTCTCGCTCGCACTCGACCCAAGTTCCCATCTTGTCGCAGTCGTTCTTATCCGCAGTCGCAGTTCGCCCGATCGCTTTGTCGTTTGTCGGTTTACACGAAAGAGGAAGAGAGAGAGAGGAAATATAAGCCGAGTGAGTCCCCAAGAGTGCTAGTTCGAGGTTGAGGGAGAAAGACGGAGCGATTGGGTGAAAAAGAAGTTGGACAGAGACAGCGGTCGACACCGAAGTCCAAGCTTGACAGTGTATGTGCATCGTGCATCTTTATCGCACGCGGGCGCGCGCGCGCATCGCTACACAGACGGAAGAGCCAACGCACCAGGAGGTGAGAGCTATTCCATTTCGATTCAAGCGTAGTGGCGTCATTCATTTTTCTTCCTTGTGCTATTTTACTTTTATAATTGTTTTTCTTATATTTTAGTCATTATTATTTGTAACCACAAATGATAAAAATGGTGATAGTTTGTTATCAAAAATGAGGGAGAACGAGAGAAAGAGTGAAAGAGATGGAGAGAGAGAGAGAGAGAGAGAGAGAGCGAGATGGGAGAGCATGAAATTCGAATAGATAGAGCGATTGGCGGCTTGAGGGAGAGAGAAAGTGAGAACCTGTCCACCTTCGGTGTACTGCACGCAAAATCATCGTCGGCAATGGCTGCGTTTCATTCTTTCTCGCTCCCTCGCACACGGCCGTTACGTTGCCACTACCGCCGCTACTCATGAAACGAATGCGCGCCTCGACTACAAACTACAAATATTGCTAATATATTTCGCATGTTTTCGGTTTTCTCATCACTGTTGTACAGTATACACGTTTTATATTTTATCTTATGTTAAATGAACGATTCGCACTATCATTACATACTTTTCTACTCTATTCTCTTGAAAAAATGTCGACGCTTAACATACAGGAAACGACCGCGGAGATCACGGGACTTGATGAATAGTAAGACAAATTTTATTTCCTTTTATTTTTGTTGATTGCGTATATTAGAAAATTTTCTGGATGTGGCCATGATTTTGCATAACTAAACGACGCATTTGGTTTATAGATTAAATATGTTGAACTTCACATATTTGAGGTTATTCCATGCTTCATAAAGAGTGTCTTATACGGCTTTGTTTTGACTCTTGTGTTATCGTTTTCGCTTTCCCTTGAGCTGTGCTCTCACTTACGTAGAAGAGTAAGGGAGATGGCTGTAGCCACTTTGAGCGCTTGTTAAGAATGTGGCTATAAAAATTGTTTTTTTTTCTACGTAAGGATGATTTTTCATGAAAAAGTGATGCGTGTACTTGAAAATAAGGAGTATTTAGAGGGACCTTCAGTCATCCGTTTGCATTTCGTGGCTTTTGTAACGCCTGTTAGCTACTTTCATTTTGCTTATTTCGTGACTGTTGGAGGAACGTTATACACTTGTCAAAAGATTGATGCGCATTGGATCGCCTTCGCCTGGTTTTCTGGTTCCATGCAATTACTTGTTTGTTTCTTTGTCAACTCTTTTATTATTTCTTGTTAATGTTTATCCCTTTTGTTCCTACTTACTCACGGTCATTTATTTAGAAATACGAAATATTCGCAGTATTTATTTATGATCTAAATAGTAGCTGTCTCGTTAGATAGAATTTCAAATAATTTTGTCGATTTTCTACGTTTCGATCGAATGTATTTTGTTCTTTCTTTGTAATTTATTATATACTTCAACCAAAGCGGACAATTTCTTTGAAAGAGTAGTCAACGTACGGATGATATGAGATGATGATGAAATCAAAAACACGGACAAACAAATCCGAAAAATGATCATATTTTGCACACTTGTGTTTCATGCAATTATATCACATTTGTTAATCCATAGATTTCGAGCTTTTGCGCTAGGTAAGATTGCTGTTGGTAAAATACTCTCATCCCTGTCCCACTTGTTTCCATCCTGCATTCGCACGAGTCGTACGAGCTGCCTGATGAGCGAGAAGGGTGGGAAGAGAAAGAGGGGGGGGGAGAGAAAATAAAGAAATTGCAAGCACAGTAGTAGAGAAGACCAAGAAAATAGATCGGGACAGTGTAGAAGAAAGAGAAGAGATATCCCGTTGCGAGACGACGACACGGCGACGAAGCCAGAGTCGAGAAGCAGCAGCAGCAGCAGCAGCGCTAGTGTATTCTAAGGGAGAGAGTAAGACGGAGAAAAGTATAGAGAACCAGCTCGACAGAGATGAGAATTGTGTATTCAGTGTGAAGGAGTGAAACAGAGAGCGAGCGAATAAGTCGCCAAGAGAGGGAGGGAGAGAGAAAGAGACAGATGGAGTGAGAGTTGAGACGAGTGGCGGCGCAGTAAAGAGAGGGGGGGGGCAAGTCGTGCATCACTCGTGTTTACACGTAAGCGTCTTCATCTATGTGCGTCGCTTTACCGCTGTGCTGCTGCTGCTGCTGCTACCGCTACCGCTACACACTGCTACATTATTGTTTTGCTGTAATACACGAGTAAGCGAGCGTACAAATACTGGTTCGTTGCTGGTGCATAGTTGTCGTTTGCCGCTACTGCGCTAAGAACAAACGCGGCTTGGGGACAGAGTGAGAGAAAGAAAAAGATAGCGTGAGAGAGAGAGAGCGTGTAAGTAAGAGTAAGTAAGAGAAGTGTGATATAGAGTAGACACACGACAGTCGAGCCCAGTTCATCCGTCTGCGCTTTTTCCAGCGCGCTACTCGTCAACATAATTCTCTCGTTGATTCCAACGCGCCGTAAGTGCCTTTTCTATCATT